CTCCCGCATCTCAGTGGTATTCAAGGGGTAGATGATCCTAACGCAACGGATCTTAATGATATGATCCGGGAAATGCACACCTGGAAACCCCCTCTCACCCTCCCACTTCCATATAACGCAGATAGAAGAGCTCCCAAATGAAATAACTTCAATTCCTTCGATAACTGAAAGGTTGATCTGGTTATATCACCGATTACACCTCCCCGAACACAAAACAAATAATCTCGTACGCACGAAACCGCGTTAATTGAAGTACAGGAGCGCCGAAGTACCTTTAAATAGGCAGAATGAAACGGGAATTTTTCCAATGAATGGAAAACCGCGTTCACATCCATCACTGTCGTTGAAGACTTCGTTCAGTCAAGCAGATGTGCGGACTCAGATGATGATTTAAGATACGCCATACGAAGGGGAGTTTCGTGGTTTTGCTGAGGACGTGGATTATTTTTGATGTATTACGAACGCTGTGCTCTTTGTACGGCAGTTGCCTTTCACGCCAATGGAAGAGTTCACTTTCTGGCAGAAATTCCTTGTAAATCATCAAACACGGGGCAAAATTTGAGCCGGGGCCAGATTTCTGGGTGGCCAACGCCCCAGCTGCTTGGATCAATGTGAGCCTCGTGACACTTATATGGAGCGGGTCCGGGGGGTCTCCTAGCCTATTTTAGGTTCTGTTTGATCTCGTCAGAAGATTAATCCTGAAGGTATTCCAACTTTGAGGCTCTGGCAAATCCCAATTAAGTCTGAAATCTGGAAAAGCTCAAGCTCGCTCACACACAGGTCAAATTTGAGCCGGCAAGGTTGATGGCATTCTGATGTGCAGGGTTCGCCCAGAATCAAATCCTTAGACAAACCCTACTGTCCAGGGATTTGAAGTGGATCAACTGAACCCTCCGCTATGAAGAGCGGCTTTTGATGTTTCCGAAACTAGGGGGAAAAAGCGGAGGCTAGGTTGATTTGGTTCTTTGCATAACTCATATTCGCTTCCAAATGACTCCACGAACCTTAATGGAAGCAAGTGCACGGCGCAATCAGAAAAATGACTAGTACCGACCGATATACCTTTTTCTGTGCCAACAAGCAAAAAAATATTTATTCATATACGTCTTCTCGGTCAAAATGATCTACTGATGACTTTTGATTCGGGGATCGATAGGAAAAGAAAAAGTAGCGAACTTTTCTGGACGATCACACCAGTAAAACGTTCAAAGGGAAATAAAGGAAGTAGAAAGGAAATAACAGCAAATAGAAGTTGTTAGTAAAAGAAATCCTTGAGGAGGAGCATAATGGATGCTGAAAGAATACATTCACATTAGGTTGGAAAAGGAAATAAATGAAAAGAAAAAGGAAGAGAAGGCTGAGCAGTCAGAAATTTGGCGATAGGACTACTTGGGAACCTTCACAGGGCGGTGCGGAATGTGCACTGCCAGGAGGAAGGCCGAGTGGTGACAACTAATGGATCCCAAGGTCAAATTCTAAACTGATCAGGGGTCAACCAAACTTTCCACTTGAAGGGATCACTTTGGAGTTCACATGGGATTAAAAAACGGTTAGCACTTAAGACAACGCTGCACCTTCATGCCCCTTATTGCAAAAATAAGGAGGCCTTACTCAAAAGAAGTTGAGAGGGGGTCGAGATCAAGGGTGTTACCAAAATATTGTTTTTTTTTGTGACCCGCACCATCACCCAAACTTTGTTCCACAACCCTTTCCACTTGTATGGTCCACTTTCGACCCTACAAGGAACGGATCTCACCCCAACAAGGAACGAATTGGGCCAAGAAAGAAGGATAGAAGCGGAGCGGGAGGAGGTGATGCAGGACAGCTTTCTAATTGACCCTGCCTATGATCAGATATCGGGATCAAACTGTTTTAAGAAATGAGCCCGAGTTTCCCGGGAGTCCAGAAACCAGCTCAACCCAATTGCCTTCACAAGACCTCCTATTCCAGCCACAACCTAATCCAGAAAAACGTGCTCAGACATCTTCTGAGAAGGATAGGAGAGAAACAGAGTTCACTGACTGTTCAGGAGGAATTGGAGAACAGGAAAGTCTATACATGCAAAAGTATTTCATACACTTATGCTTGACATCTAAAATGTTACTAAAAAGTAAAAAAAGCTTGATAAATTACCATATATGGTGCTCAGATATCATGCACAAAGAAATCACAGCAAAAACGATCACAGTAGGAGCATAGAAAGAGTGACAACCGGTTGTGCACATTCCATAGTCATCGATTCATTTTCTCAACAGAGTTTCTATGTTCTTTGTAAAAGAGGACAAATCGCCCCAGTTGGTCGGCGTTGAATTTATTCGTGTCTTCTTTTTCTTTGATTTCTTCTA